TCCTAAAATATATTTTTTTATTGCTAATATTAAATTTCTACGCTATGCCTGCATTTTCACTAAAATTGAAATATCTCACAAACTGTAAGTCCTAGGTATGCAGAATCTTTAATAAAGTTTACATATTTTTTTACGGTGCTTTCAAAAATGCAGTAAAATACAGGGTGTTCCATTTAAAAATACATAAATTTGATATGGTACGCTTTTCCTGGACACCCTGTATATTTCAAAATATTTTTAAATTGTAGCCGTAATCAACCTACATATACCCACCTAAACATGTTTCTATAACATTTGCCGTTTGGTCTCTAGCGACCGAGGCGTTACTGGTGGCCCACCCTGTATATAAAAATTTAGTATGGCAACGGGGGTGGAATTATTGTTTTCTTTTATAAAAAAAGGGAGTGCTGAGATGTCATAGCAATCTGACAGAAATTAATTTAATTGGAGATATAAAATATAAAATAATCAGTGAAAATCAATCCATTGTCAACCAAATACTTTTCCAAAGGAAAAATACCAGTTAATATAACATTATAATCAAGATTTGGCAGTTCTAATAAGATACAAGGAAAACAGAAACATGGACTCAATGAAGCGTTGGACAGAATTCGTAAGTGAATAAACATTTGTTTAATACGTCAAAATAGAACAATCCTAAAAGTTAAATAATCGTTAGTGCTAATGAACGTCACTTTTAGTTAGATAAAGCCTTTTAAATTTAATGTAGATAAAATATAGAATATAAATAATAATTAACAAAATTTGGTAGTAATTTCTAAATTTTGAAATCATATAGCTACACAGTTTTTGAGAAACCAAATTTTGTTAATATAGTTTAGTTAATAAATAATTAATTTAATTTTCCAAGGAAAAACCATTAATTTAAATGATTATTTATTTGATTTATTATATGTAAAAAAATATATTGTTAATATACTGTTTATATTTATTAAGAGCATTTTGAAATTTTATTTATTTATTAAAAAATATATTACATTATAAATATAAAGGCGCCCAATAAAAGGCAAAGACCGAACAAATAATTAATAACATATTACTGTTATTATTGTTATTGTTAAGACGATATTAAAAATGAGTAAGTATTGATAAAATCAAATATAAATTATATATATTATTATTATATATAATCAAATATAAATTAATAAAACATATAATATTATTATAAATATTATAATTGTATTGTTGGAATCAGGAAGAAGCAGATTCCGAAAATCGAATAATAGATGGGGTGTTCCATTTAAAAAAAAAACATACGTTTGGTTCGTGTCTTTGGAACGCCCTGTATAATTTTTGTTTTAATAAACTTTTTAAACTCGGAAAGATTTCCTACAACATTTATTATAACTATTTTTATTTAACTCAAAAAATAAAATAGTTAAGGGGGGTAAGATGTTATACGAATGTAAATAGTTAAAGAGACCCCTGTAATGTGTATGTGAATGCGTGGTTTGTTCGAAATACTATTTTAAATAAAATGTAATCAAATATCTGAAATTTTATACAACGTATCTCGAAAATCCCCTTTAGATCCTTAGTTCATTAAAGCTTTTTTATTTAAAAATATCCAAGAGACAATTTCATGAAATTGTGACATAAATTTAGAATATACTTTGTATTTCACAAAAATCACTTACTAGTTAGGTAATTTACGGCCACTAGCATATCCATCTACTTTACTAGCTATCAGGCCTTCTGTAATGAGTTTAAGTTCTCCACCATTTTCTCCATCCCAAACAATGGCGATATGATGCCACTGAGCATCATTTATTGTTGTATAGTCCCGGTAACTTAAATAAACATCTTGTATATCCTGGAATATAGATACTTGTACTCCACTCGAATGGGCCTGAATAATTGGTCTTCTATTATTTGCAACATATTTTGAACTGAAATTGATTAAATATAATTTTTATTAAATATTATGAATATTAACACTTACGAAACACTATATAATGTAAAAAATATACCATTTTCATCTTTTTGAGTGAATTGTACCCACATAGCAATTGTAAGACTTGATTTAGATCCTGTATAAAATGGTATAATTTGAGACGAAGAACTTCGTGTTGCATCAGTAAAATATAAGTCATAGTCAACAGATATAGCTGGAGAGAACAAAAAAATTAAATAATATAAATACATAAATATATGCAAATTTACTTACTTTTCCTACAGTCTTCACCAGTTAAATTAAACGGGCATTGACAATAAAATTTTCCAGTTAAATCTACACATGTCGCACTTGGTGGGCAAGAATTTTCTTTGCAATCAACTATATCCTCTTCACAATATTTGCCTGTAAAACCAGGTGGGCAAATACATTTAAATCCATATATATCATTACTGCAAGTAGCTCCATTTTTACAAGCATTTGCTGTGCATGCATCATATTCATACTGACAGCCAATTCCACTGAAACCATCACCACAAGTACAGTTAAGACCAGATCCAAAGTCTTGGCACTTTCCTCCATGCATACAAGGATTTCCAATGCACCTCTCTGGTGCGGTCTCGCATTGTTTTCCATCAGTTCCTGAAGGGCAACTGCGTGCAATGTAAGAAATAGAAACCATAAGATTCAGTATAAACGTATAGAGGACAAAATATGTTTAGCTACAGTATAGTATCGAAAATGTAGATATAGCTCACTTAGATTTTTAGGAATTTGTTCCCAAAATTTATTACAAGAAATATTATATAATCTACAGGAAGCAATATAAAGGAGCTAACATGTTAATATTTTCAAGTTTATGAGTAAGTATTTAAAATATCGTAACATAAATCTCATCCCTTTTGCGTTGATTGACATTTTTTTGCAAAAAGGGTTTATACTGACTTCAAAAATTATTATATCTCCGAAATTAACAGCAATTCTAGTGTTCTAACTTCTACCATATAAATATTTCATTTCTAAATAAGTTGAACACATTGTTAGTTATTTTTAAGGTTGTATAAATGTGTATGCCTACGTACAGCTCCTTATACACAAAATCAAGATTTTAAGACAGAAAACTGCTAGATACTATGTAGTACTAAAAGGGCTAAGCAGTAGATGATATGAGAATATTGCCTAGAGATAGTTAATCCACTTTGCTTCAAAGCTACCAATATGCGCGCTTTTGTTGATTTTTAATAAAAAAATAAATTAAAATAAATTAGGTTAAGTCCGATTAGGTTTTTCTGTAAGTATATAAAACGTACAATTACTTAAATATTAAAAATGATTCCATTAAAGGTATTTTTGACTATGTCATATAAGAAATAAGCATGCTCACGGCAGCCTCGAACCAAAGTGTATAGTTGTCTCTAGACCCTAGTGGATATGAGGCATATCTTGGATTTATCTCGAACCTGCAAGTCAGCTTGAGCTCGATTCTTGACTGTGAGAGAATAGAATGCTGCCTGGGGAACGTTCTCAAATTTCGCTGTACTACTGTTCTATTAACAAAATTAATACTGTATTCTCGACACAAAGGGATCGAGCCATGAAAGTGAAAAACAAGAAACAATGTTGTTAAATGTACCTACCAATCAAAAAGCAGCAAATAGGCGGCAGAATAAAAACTAGTGATGAGTAAGTCATGAAATAAGTGCTACTTTATTTAGAGTTATTGTTATTTGTTTGTCAGTGTCAGATGCAGTCAAAAAAGGAAAGAAAATGGAAACTAATAAAAAACCGTAGTTAAATCAGTAAGTTCTAACCAAGAAGAACTTCTACAGCCACTAGAGAGAAAATGAGTGCTAACTGGGAAGAACTTACAAATATTTTAATACTATATTAGGCAGATCCATTTTATTCTATTATTATTTTATTCATGTACTGTATAATCCTTCAAGTAAACACAAATTATACGAACGATTCCTCAAAGTTCTCGAAAGATATCAACACAAAACAGTAACTAGAGATATTACAGATAGATTGCGGAATTCGTAATCTGTGAAACATGTCAAAACATATAGGGTTAAGTTTAATGATCCCTGCCTGTTCCCCCGAAAATATCAGTAGAAGAAATAGGGAACGATTCTTCTATCACTACTCAATAGAACACCATTCAAGAATATCGACTAATGAGTTTTAGTAGAAACACGCCCCCTTTCTCTCGTTCCTTCTACTCCCTATAATTCAAGAATAAAGTCCCCTCTCAACTGCGTATCACGCTAGAGAGAAGCAGTGATATCAACGAATAAGGTGAGTGACTTAGATTGTATTATCTTCAAAAATTTGAAATTCCTAAATCACAGGAATGAATCTACTTTTGTTTCTCTTGACAGCAAGTATTCGAGGATCTGTCATTTTTAAGTTTTCTGAACATATCTGAATGAAAATCATAAATATTGACAAGCCAACAATAGAATACTGAAATTCAAGAAACACGAATTAAGAGAAACATAGAGAGGATTTAATAATAAATATAAGCTATATCAGAAATAAAATACACATTTCTGATATAGATAGTTTCAATGCATCTCCAAGAGGAAATAATCATGTATCAGGAAATTACCTTCTGAGAAGGCGAGCCACCAGCAAAGTAAGTTAGTTGCACAAAAACCTTCCACAGTTGAGAAAAGGAACACGTAAACTATTCAAAAGAGGCAAAATGAGAAATACAATATACCACATTAATCGAATACAATAAAGAGATCAGGAAAGCTAAAAGTGAATCTTGGAGGAACCACTCATTAAAGAATTGAGTGAGCGATTGACTCTTTTAACACCTTTAAGGCACCTGGACCGGATAGAATAATCCTTATAACGAGCGTTCAAATAAAAACGTGGTCAAGTTGGTTCTGAAAATTTGGACGTAGGGCGTAGCCTATAGCAAATGAACTTAAACGTCATCTGTCAAATCGCTATATCGCCGCTATCAATTTGAATATTTTCGTTTTAAAAAGCGTTTAAAATGGTGTTTTCTCTAGAACAAAAAGTGTTTATTATAGAGTCCTACTTTAGAAATGGACGCAAAATTGATGGAATATGGAAGTATTCTATTGAATTTCCCGGCGTTGTTGAGTACAAAATTTTTCAAAGTGCAGTTCAGCGTTGTATTAATGTTAACGAAATTACAAACTTTTACTTTCAACAAGATGGCGCAAGGGCACATACGGCAGGCGAGACGATGAATATGTTGAGGGAAGTTTTCCAAAATCGACTAATAAGTCTCAATGCTGAACATGAATTTCCACCGAGGTCATGTGATATTACGCCGTGTGATTTCTTTTTGTGGCCTTACCTTAAATGCACTATTTTTGAACTGCCTATTCCTGATTTAAACCATCTGCAGGCTCGACTTATAGACAAGATTCGTGAAATTAACAATACCCCGAGCATCTTAGAAAATGTCTTTAATTCTTTGAGGAACAGGTGTGAAAAGTGCTTGGAACAAGGAGGGGGACACTTTCAGCAGCTGCTTTAATTTATTGTTATAACAAGGAGGGGGACACTTTCCGCAGCTCCTTTAATTGTTTGTTATTGTTACCACGATTATTCTTTAAAATAAAGTTATATAGTCATTAACGTTATTGAAACTGACAGCTGCTATACAGCTCGTTGAGAAATGAGGTTAAGTTGGTCGCTATAAGCTACTACTTACGACCAATGTGTCAGAGCCAATTTCGACCACGTTTTTATTTGAACGCTCGTTACTTTTGCAACTGGGTAAAATCATATTATGTCTAGTCCAGCAACTAATCAGAGTAAATCTAACCACACGATATATTTCCAGAAACTGAAAACACGCCTGAATTATTTTCATACCCAAACAGTAGACAACTGTAAGGTAGGTACTTGTGAGAATGATAGCGTTTTACAATACAACCTGGTGAGAAGGAAAGCATTGGAAACCGTGAAGATTTTAAATGTCAAGCAACGACGTGAGTGGAGGATGCGAGGTGCACTGTTGCGCAGGTCTGAAAGCATATACAACAACACAGGCGCAACCATAGACGAACATAAGACTACCCCACCATCCTACTACGCAAACATTAAGTCGCGCCCAGCGGTGCCGGTGACGTATTCGAGGTTATGCCATTTCCCCTATTCCACAAATCTATAGAGGTGCGCACGGCGGTACTAACGTCATCGGCGATGAAAGCGGAACTTTCTACCAACTCTCACCACTACAGTGTAGGAAAGTACCGATGGTCTATCAGAAGTTACGTGAGAGCGATAAAGTAAGCCATAGAAATCCATGCGATAGATTTGTTTAATTTTAGTTGTAAATAGTTTGTCTAAATCTGCCAAAAGTGAAACTAATTGCTCTCAATTTGTTTCTGTAACGATGTGGAAAATATTAACATGTATCCCATGTAAACTAGACAACTTTTATGTTAACCTGATAGAATGTGATTTATGATTCTTTAGAACATCCATGGAACATTTTTTGAGTCAAAACGGTATTCTCAAAATATATTGAGTATAGAAATTTTTTTTTTGTGATTACAATATTTTACGAAAACATCAATATTGAGGTTCAATAAGATATTGAAATAATTATAATCAAATTAAAAAAAAATCTGTATGTCTTTATAAAAGGCTTTGTTAAAGCAAAATTAAAATAGAGTAAATTTGCAGTTGTGTTATTGTGTAAATAATATTTCTCTGATTTATGTAGTGCTACCATTTTAACCATAATAAACAAAGTTGTTCAAATAAATTTCAATATGTACACTATTATTTGTAACTAAATTTTAAAGTATTGTTTAATCAACAAAGAGATAAAAAATGATAAAAACATTGAGTAATGTTTTCATATGTGACATATGTACTAAGTACTTACACACAGAAAAAGTCTTGGAATAAGTTTATACACTCAGCATTATTTTGACATGGTTTTGTTTGGCAGCTTCCAATATCAGTTTCACAATTTATTCCTGTCCAACCTGGTTGACAAAGACAATAATAAGAACCCACTTCATCACGGCAAGAGCCTCCATTTAAACAAGGTTCAGAATTACAGTCATTAATATTAGTTTCACACAGAAGTCCAGTGTATCCTTCCCTACAAATACATGAAAATTTATTATCTAAGTCCACACATTTTTCTGTGCCCAAAGAGTTGCAAGGATCGCTCAAACATTCATCAACTTCTGCTTCACATTGCAAACCAATAAAACCTGGTCTACATTTGCAAGAAAATCTGTCTATAAGATCAGTACACGTTGCACCATTTTGACAAGGCTTTGAAAAACAGAAATCAATTGTGTGCTGGCATTTTTTTCCTGTAAATCCTGGTTCACAACTGCATGTATAACCATTTACTTCGTCTAGACAATGTCCGCCATTTTCACAAGGATCTGTTAAACATTCATTTATGTTAGATTCACATGAATTGCCAGTCCATCCTGGATTACAAATACATTGATGCTCAAATAGTCTATCAACGCATATGCCATTTTTACAGGGATTTCGCGCACATAAAGCAATTTTTTCTTGACATCTCTTTCCTGTAAAACCTGTAGGGCAAGTACAACTAAAATCTGCTACCATATCTGTACAGTTTGCTCCAAGTAAGCAAGGTTTTTCTTCGCAATCATCAATATTCTTTTCACACAACTGTCCCTCCCATCCTGGTAAACACTCACACATAAAACGACCTTGTTGTAAAGCTACACATGTCGCACCATTATTGCATGGATTTCCATTAACCAAACAAGGGTCGATCTAAAAAATAGAATTAAATAGATCTGAAAATACGGAACATTTATTCGACTAACATCTGATTATTTTTTAAAAAGAAATTGCATGATTTAATGAATTAATGTTAAATTATATAATAATATACTAATCTTTGAAAGTACACCAGTGTAACAGCAACTTTACGACAAACTTTCAGATTTGACTGCTTTCGCCAAAACAGATAAAGAAAACATAATTTGTCCTATTTTTTTCTAAGGCTTTTGATCAATTACTCAAGTCTAAGGAGAGAGATCCAATTCTAAATAAATCTTTTGTGACTCCTAAGTTCTTTCGTAAAATGCATCAAAATTAACATTTGATAATTTTAATTAGAAGTCAAAAGACCATGATAAAGTTAGACGTTTACAGGCTTAATTGTCTTATTTTAAGGTATATAGAAATGGTTAAAAAGCAAAAATGTGCAGAATTTTATGCCCATCACGGATTCATAAATTACGAAAATTAAAAATTTCACTCGTATTTCAAAATTTTTGTGCAAAAATGTGTGTAGTATGATATTAAATGATATGAAGAATCTAGTTTTGCTGTCAGTATTAAAGTATCTCTGAAAACGTGTACTGAGTGGTAGTTAACTTTTGTTGTTGTTATGGGCGCCATATTGAATTTGTGCCTCATTCGAAGAAAAAAGAAATTCTCTTTATAACGATATATAATTAATGGGGTTTTTATAAATAAATACCAAGATGTTGTTGTGGTTGTTGTTGTTGTTGTTGTGGTTGTTGTTGTGGTTGTTTATTATTATTATTATTAATAATATTATTATTATTATTATTATTATTATTATTAAATTGTTAAGATAGGTAATTATTATAAAATGAAATAGTAACCTCTATAGGTTCAGTTAGTACTATTTTTCTTCGAATTTATAAAAAAAATCGTTGTTCTAACTTGATTAGAAGCTGAGATAATTTTTTATTTATTTAATCGCAGTGACCTTAATTATTAATACTCGGAGCCGAAATTTGGCGGGGTATACATTATATTTTATGTCCTGCATTAACATTAAAGTGAATTCAACTATTTAATTTTTTTTAATTGAAAAAAAGAAGATAGCGGCGATGCGTTCTATTACTCGGTTTAGCGAACGCGTGGGGTGAGCGAGGCGGAGCATGCGCGCTACGCGCCTGGTA